GCCAGTGTGTACACTGGCTGGAGAATTCTGGGAGTTGAAGTCCACCTATCTTCAAGTTGCCAAGGTTGAGAAACACTGCTCTAGGATCTGCAGTAAGCTTAAAACAAAAACAAAATATTTTGGAACATGGCTTTATTTTCTTCTTTCATTAATACAATTCATTTACCTCTCGCGCCATTAAGCCTTTTTTTCAAGTATAACATCCAGATGATTCTTTAAAAAGAAATCTCTCAAAAATAAGGAACAAAACATGCCAACAAAGTATTATTGGGCAGTTAATTAATTTAATCCTCATTTGGGTAAAGCCAGGCCACTAATTCACTGTAAAAACTAAGGTGAGGAACTGTGACCCTCATGCATTTTTTTTTAAAATGGTTGCCTGGCTTTGTTGTAAACTTTACATCAGTAAGGTACTCTTGGAAGAATAAGAGATACAGATTAAGCTTTAAAATACACATTTAAGATATGTATTAAATTATGCCACTAGTGACTCCTGCACTATTTAAACAATTAAATAAATCACTATTTAATTCTCTCGATTCATGTTTAAATAATCACCATTTAAACAGGAATTAAATGAATCAAAAGCACAAATAAAAATCAGCACTAATTATTGCTCTCTTTGATACTTTGACTCATTGTCTTTTTCACTTACAGATCTACCACGATCAGCAAGAACAGAGGCACAGCTTTCAAGAGTTTGGGGAGAGAGTTTCATGCGTGCAAGCATGGACGTTTTCTCAATTTGCAACAAACACACATTTATTTACCTGTTTGTCAATGGCCTTGATGTATTTCTTCCTGATTAAAGGTACCCCAATCTTTCATCCATCTATACTACATGGAGAGCTACACAAAACTTTTTGAGGGTGACAGGGTCAGATCCTTCAAAGTCCTGTTCTCATTTCACCAGAATAATCTGACTTTAGTGGACGTTGCCCAACTTTTAAATGAATCATTCTGACTGAAACAGGTATTGAAAGGGTTCAACCTCAAAATGTTCTGCACACCTTTAAGATATGTGATGCATATAAATACTCAGCTTTGAAGCTGCCTGTTAAAACTTCGAAGTGTGCAAATGTTCCTACTTGAATGGCCACCCAAAATAACCCGCTCATCTTCTTAAAGTATCTTGGCTCCTAGGAATGACGCTGTTGACATACTTAGCTTCAGCTAGTTAGAAACTGATCGTATGAATATATGTTACAGTCTTTGTAAGGTAAATTTTGAATGCATAACTAAGCCCTTAACATTCCTATGGAATCATTAGGAAAAAAGCTATTCACATTCCAAATGCTTTCTAATGAAGGTGCAAATGGACACATTTTCTTAGAAAGTGCAGATCTTGTTTTTGAGCATTTCTGAGAACACTGTTTAGATGATACAGTCCATAACATGAATCTGAAGTGTATCTATGTCCGGAAGAATTATTCCACACTTTGGGCAAGAATGTACAGGCATATCCCTTGGCTGCTGCTGGCGATTCTGATCTTCTGCTCCTGCAGATACAGATTTTATTTATTTAAATATATATAAATATATATATATTTGAGAACTATACTTTAAAAGATATATACATCACATATAGAACAAATTGTAAACAAATGCAAATAGCTGTAAACTAAGGTAGCTGATTTAGTCAAACAGGCCTTCAAAATTAAGAATATTTACAGTTCAGGGTTTTAGATCCAGACAGAACCAAAGTATTTCATTTCCAGCTAATAGCATATTTCAGGTGAACAATAGAGTTTGCAATCATTTGGAAGATGCTCTCTCCAGCCACCTAGGGAGTTTCCACATGTTGCTTAAATACTTCATGAGCAAGTTTGCATACCTGCATAATCTTGGATTATATAAAATATCCCAAATCCTTTTGTTGTGCAAGTAAGATGGGGTCTAATCATCGAAAGCCTTATGTTCACTGGCACTGCAGATCACATGATGGGCACCACTTTGTCAGTGATGTTAATCCACTTATGTATAATGTCCGAACCGGCATGCAAGTGACCCTCTTTTCCTTTATTGTTTTTTTCCTGTTCTATCATCCCCTTCCAGACTGCTAATCTTAGAGGGTGGACTGTCTCTTGTTATTGCTCTATAAGTACTTGGTGCTGCAGGCTATACCTGCCTTCAGCTGCCACTACTTCAGTGAGCACGGCCTTGCAAAGATCTGAAATGAATGTGAGGATTTCTTGCATAGTTTTGTTGATGCTGGTGAACAGGTCTGATGAAACATGCTACTTGAAGGCAGGAGCATTTAAGCTGCAAGGAGATAATCCATTTGCTCCGTTCCAGGCACTGAATGCGACATTCAGAAACATTTTGCTCAGGTTTGTATTGTTTTTAGAGTCCTTGCATTAAAAAGAGAGAGTAGTATGTTGCAAAGAAAAGCATCAGGCATGATCTTAATTTCTTCTGGGCCCTGCATTTTTAGAAAATGAACAAGATAGGAATCTGTAGCTAACTATTTTCTTTTGAACTGTGCGCCCACCTGCTCAGAAAAGATGTTATATATAAACTGAAATGGTAAAGAATATCCTGAATGGTTAGAACAGGTAGCACGTAGCACAGGTATCTGGAGGGGGAATGAGGCACTGAGTGAAAAATGTGTATCATGCCATCACAACACAAACCCTGCCAATTATGTACTTATGACCAACAGAAGGATACGTGACAAGCCAGGGTTTTTGTCACGATGTCATGATGTCATGATGCATGTTTTATTTTTCTGTGATGTCATAACACACATTTTGTTGTTTTTCCATCACCGTGGATGCCTATGATAGGAGAAACATCACCAGGAGTGTCTGCAGGGTGTGGTCAAAAAAGTCAGGATGGTAGCCACAATGCTCTTCAATCTTGGACAGTGCTTCAATTGCACCATCATGACTGCCATCTTGACATTTTTGACCACACTCTCCAGACACCCTTGAACCTCACCATTTTGTCTTCTGATAAATGGATGCTTTGTGACTGGCAAAACCCCATAATGGCAGCCATTTTGTAGGGGTATCCATAGCCTACATGCAAAATTCCACACGTGCTTGCCAGCCCAAGACTGGAGATTCTTGCACTAACAATCCACTCACCCATATCTTTCTTTTCCACCTTTGATTTTGATTTCTTTGCTCTCCTCACTTCTGTTATGACATCAACAGAAAGAGCCATTCTCACATTCATGCCAGATTGTTTTGAATACAAGGCTACCTAGGAAGTCAAACTTACCTTTATGCCAGGAAAAATAAAAATCATCTTATTGGTAGGATCCATCTGGTAAATTCCAGATGGGTGGACTTCAACTATCAAAAATTCCCCAGGCAGCCTCATAATTCCTAAGGATTCTGGGTGTTTTAATGTCCACACCTCTGAAAGTAGCCATGGCTGAGGAACACAAGTTTAGACAAAGAAAGGAAGAGTCTTTGGAATTATCTCCATGAACGTTGACATCCCTCACGTTCTAAAGTTGTAAACTGATTCAAGAGAAATAATAAGTACCTCAGGGAACAAAGCCACTTGCTATAAGACAGTTAACCTAGTTGATTATGCAGGGTACCTGAAATATGCAGATACCTTTACGTTACACTCTCATTCTGTGCTAGAAGAGAAGGATCAAGCAGATCTCATGGAGATTAATCTTCACTTTCCTTCCTAAATACTAAGGCTGCGCAGCATTTTAAATTCAGTCTTCAAGATGTGCTTCAGAGGGTGCAGGACTGTACATATCAATGCAGACATTTATATAGGTTTAGGATCCAACTGAAACAAGGTTCAAGGTTTTTTTCCCCTTGTTATACAATTTATAGAGACAGAAAGCAGCAGTTTGGGTCCAGCCTTATCAGCACTGTGGGCAATTGCCTCCCTTTTCTCATGAAACATAGAGTAGCAAATCTTTCCCTCCCTTCTAGTCCAGCTCTTGCTCTCAAAAGTACTCTAAATAAGCATATCTTAGCACATGATTACATGATCCAAGTATCTAAACATCTCTCTATGCCACTAATTCCTAGGACCACTCCTATTTCCTACCTAGATTTAAAGAAAGGGCTTATGAATTTAAATTGCAATTTGCTGTCCCTCACAGCCTGCAGAGCGGACCATGGGTTGGCTGGTGATCTTCAGATAGGTAAAAGTTTGATCTTCTGTTCTTCCAGCTATCTTCTGGCCTCCTAGAAGAATGTTCTTCTCCCAGACTGCACTTTGGTGAGTCTTCTTTCTGTCTCATCCACTGTCCTCTAAATCCATATTGGTGTAAACCATTTTAGCTTTACCAACCAACGTTACTTGGACCAAAACCAACAGACCAGCAGTCCATCCATCTTCAACAGTTATAGGAACTTTCTAATCCATGTCAGCACCATTAACTGCTAGCTAGATATTCCACTACTCAGTTTCTTCTCCACAGAATTCTTTCATCCTCTTAATATGTCATCTGGGCTGTTTTTAAGAAATATGTCATCTTTCACTTTTTTAATCAATTCTGTATCTGCTGCTCCTTCTCCTAGGAGAATGATGTCCTATGAGAAGCTAAACTACCTCCTACTTGCAGCACATTCTCAAGAAAGCAAAGCATGAGTTAGAACAGAGAATTTTCCAGGTTACTCTCCCTCCTCCCAACACTGACTTCCAGAGTCTGCACAGAAGTGCATGACTAGCCAGCACCACAGCCATGGCAACTACAGGCTTGTCACATCTGTCTGCCACACCTTAAAGCAGTGCTGTTTCTCCTAGGAAAAGATGTAGCTGCCTTAAGGGTGTTGTAGGCTGATGTTACATTTGCACTTCCATGCTCCAGAGTGCCTTTTGGAGACTGAATTGGAAGCACAGCCACAGGAAATATTGTAATAATAATATGCAATTATCCACCTAACTACATGAGTGATTTTTTTTGTCTGAGGTGTCAAGGTGGCCTTCTCCAACCAAACACAACTTACTCAGTGTCATCAAAACAGCTTCTGCTTGCAAAACAGAAGGTTCTCATCAACCAAGTCTGAGTTTGTTGTCTAAACCAAAGGCTATATTCTAGTAAGTTTCTAAATTTTGTCCTACCTTCTCGTGTAAAGCTGGGTTAATTACCTTGATCTGATGACAGTCTGGTCCCATGACGGGTTTGCATTTCCGCCAAGGAGCACCTGAGGAAGGAGAGTGCATTTTAAGGGCTGGCTCCCAATGTCCACAAGTAGAATTTATTTTTTATTTATTTAAAAGACTTCTTTGGTTGTTGATCTCAGGGTATGACGCTGGGTGACTAACGACAATTTAAAACAAGAACAGTGACACAATAGATAAAATAACAACAACAAAAGCAATACAAAGTCCTGCTGCTAAAACCTGACTCAGAACCCCCAAGAGGCATGAACAAACCAAGTTCACTGAATACTGTGGCCTGGATCCTGTTAGATGACACTGCGTCACAGAAGGGACCTGGAACATACCTGCTCTGCTGGAACAGACGGGAGCACTTGAAGATAGGCAGTCATGCAAGTAACCCAGCCCTGTGCCATGAAGGACTTTATAGGAGGCAACCAGCACTTTGAATTGAGCCCAGAAGCTTACTGGGAGCCAATGCACTTACAAAGCAGTGGTATTACACGGACACGCTGTGGTGCGCCCCAAACTGCCCATGCCGCACTACGTTCTGGACTTGCTGAAGCTTCCAAATACTCTTCAAGGGCAGCCCCACGTTGAGCACTTACCACGGTTGAATTAACTGAACAAGGTGACATGATCCTTGATGGAGAGGGGTTTTCTTTAACAGCCGTATGAGTTTCTCTTTCTCGGCTAGATCCTGCATGGAAAAAAGTCCTGCATCGATTTCTCACCTGCCAAGATCTTCACGCTCTTGCTTTTCGGCCAAGAAGTACGCCAACTGCGTGGCTAATTGCTCCTTTTCCTCATGGATCTTCTCCCGCGCTGCTCTTTCAGCATGGAAATCAGAGCAGTAGACCTCCATCTGCTCAGGAAAATGGTGACATCACTCCACTTTAAAAAGTCCCAACATTTTTATTCTGAAGTCTCATCTTCACCCCTTATTCATCTCAGCAGGTTGACAACATCTGACTGACCTGGTTTGGGCTTGGAAACTAAACAGGGCCAGGCCTGGTGAGGACTGGATGGGACACCACCAGGTAATCTAGCCCTGGCTGGGAAATTGAAAAACTTCCCAGAACAAAGCAAGGGCAAACCACTTCCATAACGCTGCCAAGAAAACTAGGTGGGCAGATCCATAAAGTCATCAGGAGTTGAGATCTCCCTCACCGTTGCAGGTGACAGGACCCAACTGGACTGAGAAGCTAAGTAGGGTCAGATGCAGTCAGGATTTGGATGGGAGACCAACAGGAAACCTCAAGCTATAGACTAGACCAAGAAGTTAAACCCTGTTAAATCATACCTGAGCTCGGAGGACAGCTACAGTCTCAAGCTCTTCCTCTTGCTTCACAATAGTTTGCTTCATTTTGTCTATCTGGAACTGTTTGGCAGCCAGTGCCTTTTCTGCTAGGTCCAGTTTGTGAATTAATTCTTCCAGTGTGGCCTGGTCTACCCTTTTGACCTAATCAGGAAAATCAAAATGCAGCCAGTTACATCTGTTGGATTCCAGGAGCCCAGTCACCAAGCCAATCTTGAAAAAAAGGGTAAGTGGGGTTGGACCTGGTTAATGCTTGGATGGGAGACCACCAGGAAATCTAACCTAGACTGGGAAGTTGAAAAACATCCTGGGGAGAACCCACTTCCATGGAAAAACACCTGGATGTGTTCCTGAAAACTTCAGGAGCCCAAGTTCAGCTTGAGGTTAGCTTTAGCCAGTGAAAGTTAATTCATTAATTAAATAGGTAGGTAGATGTCTATCTACCCGACACACTGATTCTTTATTATGATCAACAATCAGTCTGTATTCATTAATGAGTGTTTGCTGCCTCACAGAATGATCTCCCTCAGCCATATACTTATGTAAAGCCCATTACTGCCAACTGACATTTAAAATCTTAACTGCTGTAAAATCCAGCATGCACACAAACCATTAGAGGCATCTTGGCTTGTGGGGTGGAGGGCAGGAGTGTCCAAAAAGTCAAGATGGTGGCTGTAATGATGTGCTCAAAGCCCTACCCTTTTTTTATGGTTATCACCCGCAACTGCCCATGCAAAAAAGGGCAGGGCTTCAATTGTGCCCTCCACCTTGACTTCTGTGACCCCCTCCATAAACGTCCCTGCACAAGATAGAACCCAAGATGAAAATTCTGGACACGCAAAGCACAAAAACACGTTTCAAGAAGAATGAGAAGAAAATGTATAGAGGAGGAGGAACAGGAAGAGGAAGAAAATGTATGTACTAAAAAGAGAGAAATCCAGTGTAGGTTTAAGGAATGGCTGGGCAAGATGGCTTCCCACCCCTCCCCAACCCATGGGCCTCCCTGCTGTTCTCAGTGGGGTCAATTCCACAGCGATTTCACGGTAGCATTTTCTAATCTCTGAACACATGGTAAGAGGGAAGCCAACATTGTTCTCCTGCAGGTCTTCTCTAGAGCAAAACTCACCTCTTTGCCTTTTAATTCTTCAACGGTTTGCAAGGCATCAGTCAGTTCCACTACAAGCTTTTTATATGCATCCTGCAGTTTACTATATTTGGCTCTAGTGGAGGACAAGGAAGAGAAAGCTGAGACAGAAACTTATGCCCCAAGAGGCCACATCACTCACGCTTTTCCCCCTGCACAAGACATCAACATAAATCTCAGAGGAACAAAGGAACTGATATCCACAAACCACACCAGACTTAGGATGGGTTTGCACATGCGTGTTTGGGGAGAGGATAAACATCTATTCAGAATATAGCTACAAAGAAATAATGCATGAAGAAGTCACCTAATTAACCAATGTTTACTATAAAACTCAGCCTGCTAAACCCAAAACTGTAGCACAGCTCTGGCCAGCTTCCCATCTGGAAACCCTGCTTGGCAGCACACACAAGGGATAAGGCGAGAAAGAAAGTGTTTGTTGCCTCCATTACACCCAGAGATCCAGTTCCCCACTGTTTCCAAGGCTATACTCACTTCTCATCATTGGTTTTAGCTTGTTCCAGCTTGATTTCGGACTGCATGCTCTCCACTTGGAGTTCCAGCTTCTTAACACTGTACAACAATTGTTGCTTCTCATCCAAGTCTCCAACACTTGCAGGGTGCTCCTTTTCAAGAACCTGACACCTGGGGAATGGAGACATCATAGGAGAAGAGACCTGGTCCACCCTCTGAAGGAGCTGGTAGCACCTTTTCAAATTAACAAATGCTATGAAAAGGCATCAGCTTCTGTGAACCACAGCTCCAATTCACAAAAGCTCACGCCATGGAATAACACTTGTTCATAACATTTGCTAGTCTGAAAAGGTGTTACCAGACTCTTTTTGATCTTACTATCATATCTGGTGCAGAATATTTCTGAGGAAGGAGGAAAGGCGTAGGTGGTTGGGTTTGGGCAGGCTGAGGATTGCCAAATGTGTGTGTGTGTGGGGGGGGGGCGGTATTCCTTAATTTTCAGAACAAGAAGTTCAGGAGAAAATGCCCTGTAGACATGGAATTCTATAGAACAATCAGACTAGGTAGAAGGAGAAAGACACTTTGCATGCACGCATAGGCAATATTTAATGGAACACCCATTGAGATAAAACATTAAAAACAGAATTGTTTTGAAGGGCTTTAAATTTATCCTTGATGTCATTTTGGTACTGTTTTATGTTTTTTATTTTATTCTTATCTTTGATTGTGAGGGGTGGATGTTTGCTGAATACCTAAATAAATATTAGCACATTCACAAACTCATTTCTGAGACAGCTGCCTGTGAGACAATACGGTGAGTAATAGAGAGAAGCAGATTAGGAAAACTGAGTTGACTTCTCTAGCTACTAGCTAGACTCCTTTAGGAAAGCTTTGACTCAAAATCTGAGAAGTTCTAAATCCCCAGAACGAACATTTGTCAAAGGTAACGTCTCTTTCAAGTCAAGCTTCAATCCTTGTGACCACCTGGTCACGTCCGTGTAGTTTTCTAGGCAACAATATGGAAGTGATCTGCCACTGTCTTCTTCTGGCCTGGTTTCAAATTCCCAGCCTAAGTCATAGGATTTCCTTGTCTCCCATCCAAGTACTAATCAGCAACCCTGATTAATTTTTTAAGATCAGTATTTGGATCTGTAGGCCAGCATGGGAAGTTAGGAACAATCTCAGAAGCAAGAAATGGCAAGCAACTTCCATGTTGTCAAAATATACCACCTGGATGTTTCCATGTTATCTCCAGGAGTTGAACTTGATACAAAGGGGACTTGACATTCACTAAATGTTCACTCTGTTATTCGATGCTTACTTTTCATGCAGCTTTTTCTTAATTTCTTCTGCTTCTTTTAACTTGGCATGGGTCTCCTGAAGCTCTCTGAAGAGGTTAGATACTTGCAGATTTAGCGTTTCCACTTCATTTCTCACCTAAAAGAATGAATTCAACAACTGAAAACCAATTGTATCTTTCTGAAAACATGACAAGTCACAGAAGATGTTACTAATAGCACATAGAGGTCAAACAGGTAGTCTCAGAATAAAAAGCCCTGTTTGTGCACTTCAGGCACACTACAAGAATAACAGACAAGCTGCTTCTACAAAATCAGTGTATGTACCTGGCTGATTCTGTCTGTAACTTGAGGGAGAGTGTTCTGTTTAAGTAGGAAACAGCAAAGAATGTGGTTACTTGAAACTAAGTGTAAATTCTAAATACTAGTTTTAAGTTGTGCATGGAAAGGATATGATATGTCTAAAAATATTTAGAATTGCTTTAAACAAGTTCATTCTTCCAAAATGAACTACTTCTCTTTGAATTATTGTCACTCCTGTTCTGCAGCAGGGGTAGGAAATTGAAAGTGAGGACAAGAGTCGGTAGGAAATTTGTGATAGGCATAGTCGCATTCTGAGTGCTGGGAACTTGTGCCAAGCCAGACCAATATCATTACTATTGACTGTAAGAATAGGAAACTCAACACTATTTGCATTAAAGACAGTCCCTTGCAACTAACCATTCTTGTCGTGGGGGACTGCCGGTCCAACACATATGGGAGGCATCAGGTCCCCTGATGTTCTGGCTGGTAGCAACTCTTCA